CTTAAGTTAAGTTTTCTTTGTCATCATTTCTGTCGTTAAGTTTTACCTTGCAAGTAAATAAAACCGAGTGATTATCATTCTGTGTTTTCTTCTTCAACTTATCACAGCAATAGTAACAACAATTAGGTAATCATTGGCTGTCGCGGGCCGGATTGAGTTTGGAGACCCTTGTTCTAATGTATATTCTGCAGTAACACGAAGTTGATATCACATGCTCTACTAAAATATGAATATTGTCCATAAAAAGTTTATAAAAAATTCGTAATTTTTAGAATAGAAGTCACCTACTAGTGGAATAGATAAAACGTTCAGTCGATCTGATTTCTATTGAATTGTGAAATTAATTCAGGAAAATTAGGACACATGTATTCAGTAAAGGTATCTATGGTATACATAAGGACAATATTGAATGTGAAATCAGTTTGACGTGTCGATGTGCTGAAAATGACGGTTTAGTATTGAGATGAAACTCCAGCAATATTAATTACCACACCAAAGGTTCCAAACATTGCATCGCGTGTAAATTCAATCACAAATTTTCAAATCATTGCACGAGTAATGCTAAAAAATAAAATCTACTTACCGTATCCACAATATTTGACGAAATTTGAGTGCACAAGTGGGCCTAACTGTTTGGGATCTCCGGCGAGAACAATTTTTCCATTAACCTTCCCCTTTCCTTTTGCATTCGACAAGATTCCAGCGATTGGAATAAGCGTTTGGGTTTCTGTTGCATACCCACTCTCGTCTATGAAGACGTAACTGAAGTGTCCATCCGGAACACCTCCGTTGACAATCCTGGAAAATTGTTTCCAGATGAGTAATACAAAAAAGTTCGATGTAGTGTTCCACAAGGTTCTGAGACTTTTGTAATTCAACATATATTCGAATGATTCAGTAACATCCAATGATGAGGCAAACATCCACTAGTTGCAGTTACCAGTTACCAAGAAGAAAGCTAGTCAGACTTGAAACAATTAGAAATCAATGATATCAAAATTATTCAAGAGAGGTTTATCACTGATTCATTCCAACATTTTACCAAACTTCTATCATATTCATTTCGTCAATATTTTCGAAACAAGTTTTTTGGTCGTTCATTCCACTGGATATAACATGTATTTTCACTTGACAAATGAACTTCGCTATTATTAATTGTAAACCAGGGCCCAAACAAAAAGCATTTTTGACTCTACATAAGACAGCTCTGTTTCGNACGTGACCTATTTTGTAGACGCCATTTGACATCATTTCTTAAGCAAAATCTACTGCCAAAATCAAATTTCACATGAAACGATAAATAAAAAAGTTTCCCATTTGATGCGGACTTTATCGGTGATACTATATAGTTTTGATCAACAGCTTTAGCTACCAATCAGAAGTATCTAGACCCGTTGAGATTGGCAAGCAGTTTATCCCTAATTCTCTGATTGTGAAGTTCTTTGTTTTCATTTATTCTGAGATCGCAGCTGTTGCGAGCATTAATAAACCTAGTACGGTTTTCGGCACCGGAATTTTTGCTACCACTGCCAGTGGGCGATATTTTTGGAGGCCGCAGCTTGCTCGCAATTTTTGTTGAACCAAGGTTTGCCGTCAGAAGTTTGTTTCATTGAAAAAGGAATATATGTAGCCATGAATTGTAGAATAAGTTCCGTGACTTCAGAAGCACGAGTTGATGGATCATTAGAGCTGAAACAAACATCCAGTCAGGGGAAATTTCGGAAATGGTCTTGAAGATCTTCCCACTCAGCAGGTCTATAATACCAAACTTTGCGTGGCTTAAATTGTTCCCATTCATCAGTTGTGTTTGGGCTGTAGTTTGCAACTAGCTGCCCTGCAGTGAAAGTCAGAAGGACGAGTCGTCACTTCTTGGGAGCCTCGTTTTTCTTTGATATTGAAAAATTTAGTTGGAGATGGAGTCTACGTGAGGGAAGATATCATCGCCTCCACTTCATCGGCATTGATGTATAGTCATATCGTAAAATAGTTCCTTACTTTGCTGCTGTTACTATAGTGCTCACTAACACCCTGTATTTGAGTAGTTGGTCCATAGACGGCATGTAAAATGTGCCGTCAGCCTGAACATTGATGATCGGTTTGAGTTTATCCATTTTCTTGTCAGCTGAGTGGCCATAAATATTCCCAAGGAGACGGAAAATGTCCATTTGGGGTATTTTATCAACTAACCGAGCAGCTACCTCATTGACTGCTGCATTGGAAGGGGCGCAAACCATGATTCTGGAGGTCGGTTCATTTTTCCAAATCTGCAATAATAATAATGATATTTTATCCTATTCAGATCAAATTTATGATATTGTAGAAGTCATATGAAAGACTGATGAACAAATATATGTGCATAGGATCTTCGAATTTCCATATGTAGGTAAGAATATTCAATTGTGACCAAAACAACTATAGTCCGTTCATAATTTGTCGATAGCACAAAATGAGGGCCCAAGTCATAAAACGGTCGTAAAACTCGTAAAATCATAGGCGGAGGTTCCTGAGGTGTTTATTCATTAAATATAAAGCTTCAGTTTATATTCGAAACTTGCCTTGAAAGGGTGAAGTTGTTACGAACGAAAATAATTTTTGGTTTAGTACATTTTTTAATCGCATTTAATTTACGGCTCGTTGGTGTTTCGGCGTCTACGGCAGTAATTAACGTCTCTAATATTTATTTTGCGAATTTTGTGCAGTG